ATAGTGGATTGGGCTGAGAGATTGCAATGTAGGAGTGAGCAATCAATACTTCTAATGGACAGCCGTTGCTGCACCTGAAGTCCTTGCTCTTGTACAGTTCCCCTTAAGCTAGTGAACATCTGAAAGAATCCCGGGGGCAGCCCCATCCTTGGCGCAACACCACAGTGGGCAGGTGCAAAACTTGCTCGGGGGTGTGCTGGGGAAGGGCCACTGTCTGTGCTGGTGCTGCATCGCCCTCTGCTCTGGGCCACAGACCCAATAAAGCAAGAGTGAAGTAAGAAGTTCACACAGAGTAGGTAGTTATTTTAAGTCTGAAGACACACCCTCGTATTCAGATTTTTCAAGATCCAATTTTTGTGTGATTGAGATAGAGCTGACAAAAAAACCCAGCTGATGATTCCCTTTTTAATAAGACACATCCAAACAACACAGTTAGAAGGAATGTTTGGGTGTGCACGGGAAAATCAGATTGAAAAATAGCTCTGTCAACTTACCTCGGAGGAGTTCTCCCTGCTGGTTTAAAGAGGTGCCCCTCTTCCCTACAGCTTCTTGTTTTAGTGTTGTGCACATATATTTCTCACCAGCAGTTTCATGTGAGACACAAACAAAAACCCCCTCCAGAAGTCCAGGAAACTACTTGCGGCTTAATTCACCTGCAAGCCACCTCAACTTGCAGCTAACAAGTCAGGTTAAAAATCTTGTTCCCTGGGACCAAGCAGACTGTCAATATGGCAAGCAAGGCTAAGCTTTCCCGTAGAAAGTTTCAACACTAAATCTTGCCTTCTGAGTCAAGCTGGATTGTTTTGGGTTTGTTTTTTTTTCCCACTCAGTTCTGCAAAAATAAGGCATAGCAAAAAATAGCGATGTTTCTGGAAACGGTTTTTGCTCCCCCATGCTTTCTTGAAGTTGCTTTTAATTCTATGAAAGCCACTTTAGGCACTAGCAGATAATTAGGAAAAAATATTTTCTGAATGCAGTTTCTGTTTTTCAGTTTCTGAAGGATTTACTTTGCCTATGTCAGAATCAGATTTGCTTTAAAGCCCTTACCTGAGAGACAGTGATGCGTACAGCACCACAGATTGCACCCGAAAAATCGATTCTAACAAGCCGGCAAAGGACGATAATGTTGATCAAGCTTTTAAATGCTTTCTTTCAGGGGAGGCACTGAGGGAAGCCGTCCAGATCTACGTAGTTCCAAAGGCACTGGCAACCATTGGTCACACCAAAAAAGCTAGGCGCAAGACATTAAGGCAATGCACGCTGGGAAGGAAGGCCAAACACACGCATCTCAACAGGTCCTGTCTAGATACCCAATACATAGGGGACAAAAAATAGTGAGCAAAAACAAGTAAAGGCATTGATTTGAGTGTTCTTAACATATATTTTAAGATATATTTGCATATGCATGCTGAAGCTCCCTCTACTGAATTGGGCACAGATAACCACGCAGCATACAACTAAAATGAAGCATCATGGAGCTGAAGTCAGTATTCTGAAGTTCACATTACGGGGCACCAAGGAAGGTTCCAATTTCCTTCTTCATTTCCTAAAGAGACAAAGATATTTTAGCAAATCCATCACAACAATCCACTGAAACTGTCACAATGTCTTTTTAGCCCCCTCTAGCTTTGGAGGCACCCGTTATGTGTCCCACACAAAGTGAGAGCGACAGCCTGTATGGACCTGTATCAGCAGGGCTTTCAAGAAGTGTGAGGAGGAGAGACGTCCTGAGACGCCACAACTAACAGCTGAAGAAGGTCCAAGCTTTGTGCGCTTGGAATAATTACTTGTTACAGTTCACCTCCACATACGCTCAGGCTTGCTGCTTACCTGCTCACACAGGGCAGTGAGAATAGCAGAGACTGTAAAGCTAAAGGGAGAAGTGGGAAACAGAGAAGCCCAGTCACCTTTCTGGAATTTGAACACTGCAAGCACTTCAAGCTACAGCAGCTCACAGGCCCTGTGCTAACAGAAAAGAAGTCCCTTCCCAAGCTAGGACATGCCACTAGACTGGATGAGATGGGCACGCTTTTTACCTCGTGGCTTCCTTGAGCACGAGGAATATTCCTCCTTGCGTCGCAAGCAGAACAGAGCATGTGTTCTCACCCTTTGTCAGATGTGCCAGAAGGGATGGAGCCGACCAGAGCTTAGGAGAAGGGACCTCCTCTTTTCAAGGCAAACTGCAGAGGGACAACCAATTTTACCTCCTCCTACACACGAGCATCTCAAAGGCCAACGGGTTTGTGGCTCTTGAATGTGAAGGCTGAATTTCTGGCATATCTAAACTGACTCAGTGCCGGAAGTGCCTGACTTGGGCCATGCTGGCCTCCTCAAGATTGCTGCTCACTTCCGGCAACTCATAAATCCTCCTTGACAGGAAGACATCAGAGAATCTCAGCAATCAGGGTAACACCTGCCAAGGCAGAAATCTCCCTTCCTGTGCAGTCCAAGACGCTCAGGCATGCTAGTCTAAAAGAGATTATGGTGGTGGCACTAGAGAAAAATCTCTTTGAAGTTCCTTACCATGTTTGCCTGCCTGGGTGGGGAGAAAGGGGAAGGGACAAACTGAGACCAGGGCCCTTCTTTCACAGCCCGCTCCCCTAAAAGAGGTCCTCAAGAAAAGCTGTTCACAGACTCAAAGGTGAACTGCTTTGAAAGGGCTGTGTGTGTGTGTGGGTGGAATCCCTTGTCTTCCAGTTCGGTCTTTGTCCTGCCGAAACTGCCAACAGGCATGCCAAATACAGCAGCGGTTCTGCAGAATGCACAGACTTCTTCCAGACAGAAATGAACAACTCGGATATTACATGGACTACTAAGCAGTAGTGAGAGTAGTGAGCAGAGTTGGAGATTAAATAAGCATGATATCCACAGGGTACCCATGGAAGACCTGCATAACAGTGATGGGAAGCGTGATGTAAAATATTACCTCTACTAACTGAGTTTTGTCATTGTCTTGTCAATGACAGTAAATGCACTGGCTGAGCACAACACGGAACTTTTCCAGGTGAAATACGCTGAACTTCTTAGTTGCCTCACCAGCAGCACTCAGCAGTTGCTGAAGAAAACAGGGAGACAATACAAGTTCAAACTAGCGTGAGGTCTTTCAAATAGGCTCTGTGTGCTGTCAGAAACTAAACCATGACAGTGTAATGCAACTCGCATCCTACTGTCTTATATTGCTAAATAAAATATGAGTGAAACTTCAAAGAACAGGCTCAGTATCACACCAGCTTCCCAAGGAGGAAATGAGTTAACTTATTTGCCCTACTTCAGAGAGAAAAACAAGGCTCAGATTTCAGCTAGCAGTGTCTTACTACTCAGTCTATCCCATGAACGATCATAACCAACGCCAAGCAACGCCTTCCAGAACAGCAGGAACTGCTGTGGCCCATTGCATAGCAAGGGATAGAGGCTGCCACAGCCAAGCCACTATTGCATTTGATTAGCTTGTGTTGCTGCAGTACAGGGTACTCTGAAATGGATGTTTGGAAGACAGGCCAGAGATCTCCTGGAAATGCGGCTCGCAGCTGGGAATGGGAGCCTCCCCAGGGTGCTTATCTTTACCCACAAGCTCAATTTTCCCCATGCGTACAGCTGTGTTGGCAAAAACAGCTCAAGCGTCTGAAGCAGATCAAGACACAAAGGTAGATCCGTCAGCTCCAACCTACCCTTAAACAGATACGGGTTTCATTCTCCTCACTGGAGGGGAATCTCCTCCTCTTCCCTGTTACGCTGCCTGACGGTGATGTGTTGCTTCTGCGTTTTCTACTTGATAGCGCTGCACAGAGACCTTAGAAAAAGCAAACCGCAACATTACCTATGCGGTCCTTTCTTCAATTCTAGCATCGTCACCTTACGAGGCATACAAGGAAAGCAATCAAAGGCGCTGAAGTACCACCCTGCTGTCTCACTACACACACACCTTGAGAAAGAAGGGGGAGCAAGTTAAAGGGGTTATCTTGCTATTAGATTTTAAAAGAAGAGGAACTGATCACATAACGTCATTCACAAAATAGTCAGCTTCAAGCTTTTACGTACAGCACAGACTTCAGACAGCAGGCTTTACCACAAAGCAAGCTTACCTCTACAAAACAGGTTGCTTACTATCTTATTGCTGGAACTAAAGTAGACGAAAAGCAGAAAAGCTGTTGGAGACAAGCTCTTCTTCAACGCTGGGAAGAGTTAAAGAGGCAGCCTTAAGGGAATACTTGCCGCAGAAGGGAAAACGCTCCTTAAGGACTCACCCCTCATACGCTTTCAGATTCAGTTAACCAACCTGCTTTGCAACAAACTTTGTGGTTATGTCTTCCAGAAGAAGCCACCACTGTCTGCACTTGCTGAACAGTGCACAACACTCATGGATGAAACCAGTGACAAAACTCCCACTCCTGCCAGCACAATAAGGAGCTGTCACACCATATCATGGCCCTTAGTGGGAAGAAAACCAAGCTCCCCTGGTCCTTCATTGTCCTTCTCACAGGAAAAGCAGAAGACAGGGAAGAAACATCGGTCTTGCCTTCAGGTACCTATTACTCTTGCTCCCCTGTTTTCTTCCACTTGAGTTTGCCGATCTAATCCTTTGAACTGGAAATCACAGTGAGAGGGGACTGCTATCTCTCTGGGCACAGAGGAGGCAGGTGGGGAGGAAAGGAAGAGAAAAAGGAAGCAAAAGCATAGAGTGAAAGAGACAGAGGGTCTCCTCTTGCTCTAAGAACTTCTGGAGCATTCTGAAATGCTACAGGTAGCATTTTATATTTCAGGAGGTAGCAATTTAGGACTTTCTTTTGTCAGCATGTTGAGTGAATGTCCTGTGGATTTCCCTCACATCCTGAGGTAAACTGAAACTGAAATGAATTCAAAAAGGGAATGCCTTTGGCATGAAGAGCTAGGTTTCCCAGAAAACGGGTATCCCGTGAGAACAGGCAAGAGAGCGATGGCATGAGTATCTTATCCAGGAAAGGCAGCAAAAAAATGCAACTTGCCACTAGAGAGGGGTGTACGGGAAACTACAGGCCCTGCTGGCAACGTCTCCTCCGCTTGCTCCTCCAGCTGTGTCCCTTCCTCCTCAGCCAGTGGTCGAGGCGCTGGTGGCGATGCTACAGGCAGTACATCCAGTGCCTGACAAGCTGCAGTCAATGAGAAGATTTTAGACAATGGATGGTACTCAAAGCACACTAAAGCATGCAAGCCTACTAAAAATTATTGCCAGAAGATCTGTTGCCAAAACAAATGCCGAATGGCTGCTCCTGTACACTTAGCAAAGCTGTCTTTGTAGAATATCCCCACCTGCTTTCTTTTTTGATGTAGCAGGTTTAGCAGCTTGATTTAAAAGCAAGTCCTCAAAAAACTTTCTGCCTTCTTCCTCGCCAGGCAGCTGGGCATTGAAAACTCCTGGACATTGATGCTCCATAAGCATCAGAAAATAAATCTTGGACCTAAGGTGGGAGGAGAAAAGACATCGCAGCTATAAGGCCACAGAAATTCATGTTTGACTCCAAAAAAATGAGTACGTTTTGAAATTAAGCTGTGTGATGATTTGCATACGAGAGAAACCACGGTAAGTTAGCTTCTTGGCCTTAAAGGCTAGATTTTCAGAGGTTACCGTGGCAATGTCAGACCATCTTCTTTAAGGAACTCTTCTAGGATTAAAGCTCAGTGAAGGGACCATATGTTACAGGGCTGACTTAAAGTGATGACATCTACCACCTCCTGGGCTGCCTATTTTGTATTTGCTTGCCTTGCTGTCCTTTAGTTTGAACCCTTGTGGCAAGTACAGGGGGAACAGGCAGGGAAGTGTGACTTCTTTGGGTCAGCTTTTGTTTCTAATTTTAACATGAGGAATGCTTCCAAGCTTTACAAACTAATCCGCATGAGAACAGCCTCTTTCAGATTTTAAGCATCTTCCTGGAATGCAAACTCTCAGAGGTCTAGAAAGGTCAGGATGTTCTCCTGTTAAAGTCTGCTGTTTGAATCAAACAAAGAGTTTGTTTTGTCTGCTGTTTGAATCTTCCAAGAGTTTCTTAAAACAGAAGGTGGAATTGAGCATCCTAATTTTTAAAGCTTTGGCCTGTATGAAGGAAGAACTGACATTTTTGTTAAAGGCATGGAAAGCCTAAACTAACTGCCGTTGTTAGCAACGGAACAAGCACATTTTGAAGTGGCAGCCTGTCACAAGAAATAATTCTAGTATACATATCGTTTTTACCCTTCTCATTGCAAGCATCGTGTACGCTTGACTGAGGACATCAGTAACCACCCTGAAGTCATTGCAATTACTCTCGGAGAATGAATTCCTACATCTGTCTAAGAAGCCCATGGAGGCGGGGGTCAAAGTGAAGCTCTTGACTCAGAAAGCCTTGTAGACATGTGCAATCGCTACTGAGCAATTTGCCTAAGCAAATTTTGAAAGATTCAGGCAGGATGCCCCTGTAATAAGAGTATCCCTCTGCTTAGGGGAGCGCAGTATTCAGGTGCTTACCGGAGTGAAAAATTAAAATGAGATGGAAAAGAGTAGGAAAAGCAGCAATAGAAATACCTCTTTGGGGAGCTCTGCATGACATATATCTGGTGTTGCAAGCAACAGAACTGGAGCATATGCTGGGATGTTCTCTAATAACTCTGTAAACGTAGCCTTCAGTGTGCCTCCAGCAGCCTCCCACCAAACATGGATATGAGGAATATAAAGAATGCTTGGTGCTGTCCTCTGGGCTTCCCGGATCAGCTAGCAAAATGGGAGTTTGGATAAGAATTTGAACCATTTTGTAGAATGGGCTGCTAATAAGCGATGACTGACCCCTTAAAATATCCTACAAAATACCAGTGCCTGAAGAGAAAAAGTCAGAAGAAAGCAACAAGAATAAGGTGATGTTTCTGGTGGGACTTAGCTCTAGACTTGGCTGCACAGCCAGAAACAGACTGGATTTCAGAGCCACTTAGCTGTAAGGTAACTCCTCAAGGGCTTCACGGCCCGGTCCATGTGGCTGTGCGCTTGAAAAAATAGGGACAAGCCCTTCAGCAGCATGGATTAGCCTGGCGCCACCGCCCCACCACTCGCTTTTCAGTTCAGTGTGGGCTTGTACCCCAGTTAGGCTGGAGCACAGGCAGAACAAGCACAGGCCTACTTGAAAGGGTGAGGGCAGACGCCGTAGAAGCAGCCTGGTTATCTTTCCCCATTTCAAAGTTCAGCATAGAAGAGGGATCCAGCCTTCAGCCGGTCTGAAAAGCACGTTGTGGCTAGAAGACCACAGAGGCCAGTGTTACATAAGCCAAAAGGAAACGTTCCTTTGATGTGACTGATGAGCACCCAGCCATGTAACATGTCTGCCCTTCCTTGCCCCACTCTCAAGTGCTTCTACTAAGGGTTAACATGTTAAAATGCAATGATGCCAAACAACAGAATTGACTTCCTGCTTAAGAGTAAAAAGGAATAAAACAGCGCTAAGCCTATGTGTTTCATTCCAGCTTTAAGTTTAGCTAAACAAAACTAACTCCAACTCAGTATCTCTAGCTCAGCAAAAGACACAGGTGCACAAATACAAAGTGTTCTGGGCGTTTGCTTGCCTTTACGGCATACACTACAGCACGACAGGCTCACTATTACCTATGTGTCATACCTGCACCCAGCTAAAAGAATAGTGCTGTGAAGCCACAAGCTTGTATTTGCTCTTTGGGAGGATGAGAGAAAAGAGATACATTCCTTTCCCCTGCCACCCTTCCACCCCGCCTCCAACCCCCCTGCCTCCAAACCTGGTTGCATTGCAGGCTAGGAAAACTGCATGACGTGCATGCAGTCAGGCTGATTCCAAGCTGTCTCTGCTGGCAGCTACAGAGTCTTAAGAGGCAAGGAACATCCCATTTGGGAGCGCGCTGACATCAAGCACAACAGCCTGCTTCTGTATCACTACTCAGTCTAAAAGCAAAGTGGATTTTCAGACAGAACTAAACACAACAGAAAGCATTTGCAAACCGGGCCATCTCTGTCTGCCACAGACTCTGCCTTCACTTGAGTTAGGTAATCCTGTGAGATTCAAGAGAGAAGAGATACCTGTGCGCATCTTTCTTCCAGTGACGTGCCACTAACAAAGAGAGCCGGCAGGTCCAGTGTGTAAACCGCAAACTCCTCCAGCGCGTGTATTACTGCAGGCGCCAAGTGAGACCTTTGCCCATATCCGGGCTCTCCAGCTATTAAGAACCTTGGTCTGTAACACGTTGGCTGGCAATAAGCATTTCTAGAACAATAAGCAGAAAACAAGCAGTTTGAAAACAACGTGATCAATAAAGACACAGGTATTAAATCCCTCCTCCTTTTTCCTTGCTCCCTGCCCTGCCACCCAAATACTCTCTGCACTCCAAGAGGTAAGAAGCTGCTCTTGTGATCAGGAAGACTAGCAATGCTTAAGGATTTGTTCCATACCTCCCCTAAGCAATCCTGCCGATCCTCACCACACCTGCTGTCCGTTTGGCTGGGTTTGGCCAATTAATGGTTCTTAAATCATACACGCGCACTGGCCAGCCAAATACAGCACCATGGCTCAGACTGCCCATGCAGAGGAGAAATATCATCTTCTCCCTCAGCTCACACCAGTCTGGATCTCTTCACCACCCCGGCCCTCTTTTTCAGGATGTCTTGAAGTTAACAGCTTGGAGTTGTCTACATCTGTCAGGTTCAACTGAAATTGGTCAAACGCGGGTGGTGGGGGGGAAGGGAAGGGAAGGGAAGGGAAGGGAAGGGAAGGGAAGGGAAGGGAAGGGAAGGGAAGGGAAAGGACAAAAAGCACAGCA